GACCTTGTATCCACGGAAAAACTTGCCTCTAGCAGATATGCTTAATGTTAAGATACATATTTATATAGGCAAATTCTTTCATGGACCTAAGGTCCATACTCATTTTATAGACCTTAGTGTATTTGTAGCACAAAGGAGGTGAACTTTTTAGTAAAATAGAACATATCCACATGAAAGCTCATAAAAAATATGAGAAGATCCAGATTTTAAATGTGGACCTTAGGAGCATGTAAGCATTACTCATTTATATAATTTATTTTTTTGTTAATGTGTACTAAGCATTTTGGAAAAATATCAATATAGTGTACATAAAATCATAGTTTTCACAATCAGACTAGTGACCGACCGAACCGGTTAAAGTATTGGTTCACTAGTTGAACCATTGGTTCAACTGGTCAAATCGGTGGTTTAAGCATATTTAAAAATTATAAAAAAAATTTATAAATATATAAATATAAATATATATATATATATATATATATATACACATACAAACATATATATATATATATATGTATATATATATATATATGTATATATATATATATATATATATCTGTATGTATGTATGTATGTATGTATATACGGAGTATATAGACACACACACTCCCTCATTTATAAATACCTAAAGATAGTAATTTATAACATTTGACTAAAATTATATTAATATACTTGAGTTCTTTTAGTAAGTTAAAAAAATAAAATTTACATATTTAAAAAAATAATATTGAAATTTTTATAAATGGAGAGTTGATTTTATTTTTTTCAAATAAGTTGTTTAATAGTAACAAGCACTGAGATAAAATCTTTGCATGATATGCATTTTGTAATAGAATATATTATATCAATGATTTTGTGTTTGACTCATAGCTATATAATTGATGGACAAAAATTCCACCGAATGATCCAACTCAATGAGTGGATCCCAAGAATATTATTGATTGGAGAACTCTGGAATTACAAAGTGTTTATGCTAGGTTTTTCTTCAGGATCCTTGTGAGGGTCCCTCCTATTTATACATATCCGTATACACAATTAAGATGATTGTTTATTATGGAAGCTAATCTCGAAAATTACACTATCCAACTTCCGTGGCCCATCTTTCGCAACCTAGCCACGGACTCTTCCTAGCAAGCATGTTACCAACGGCTCCTTTATTCGGGTCAGCTCGAGCCCAATGCCTTGGGCCGGCCCAATACTGACCTTAGAGTGTCTCTGAGTCCCAAAGTGCACCTGGGCACCTGAGTTGGGCTGCCCGATAGGTTATGGTCCATCACAAGCCCCCAACTCTTCATTCCATCCGACGGGCCACGTTAGGGAATGGGGACTTTCTGAGGTCCACATATGCCTCCCCTCAACGGATCTGAGCCATCCCTTTCTATTCGTGCGACGGTTGGCTCGTTTACCCAGAATCAATCATCACTTGTCTTCTCGTCTTCTTCCCAATCCTGATAAAAACCGTCGTTGGATGCCTCCTTCCTCATTGTTCTTCAGCCCCAACCGCGATTGCGCCCCGACCCATTTTTCGTGCTTCTAGGTCAATTCCTCTTTCGCTACCATGTCCTCTTCGGATTCCGATCCTTTACCACCGTCTCTTAGCCCTACTCTGGCAGACCAGCGGACTAATTCTGGCAAGGATCAGGGTTCCTCTAGTTCACCATAGTCGTCACCGGCGGCTGTATCCGGTAAGAGACAGTGACGATTGCGAATACAATTCTACCCCCGAAGCCCAAGCTACTGGGCCTTAGGGTTGAACTTGAGGAGAACATCATGGCCGTGTGCCATTGCCAAATCTCGGATCAGGGCTTCGCCGACACAACTGATATGGTTGGTCCTGCCATTGAGGTCTGACGACCCAGTAAGACAGAGACTGCCTTGGATGCCCCCAAGGGGTTCTTCACTGTGCAACTCGCTTCCTTGAAGAGGGGTCTGCGATTCCCTTTCCACCCTCTGCTCGTGGATTTCTTTAACGAGGTGGATCTCCTCCCCTGCTAACTAGTCCCTAACTCCAACCAATGCATAGCGGGTTACCTGATCAAGTGTCAGGAAGCGGGAGTGACTCCAAATTTGGACCATTTTTTGTTCACTTTCAAACATGCAAAGGGTCATAAGGACTAGGCCTCTTATGCTTGCCTCTCCCAACAAAAGAGCAAGCTAGGGGTGGGTTCGGTTTTAGTAGTTTGGTTTTAACCCAAAACCAAAGACAAAACGGAAGGTAAATTGGCGGTTCGGTTCGGTTCGGTTTTGCATAAAAAATATGTAAACCGTTGGTTATTCGGTTTGGTTTTATATGGTTTTTATTTCGGTTTTTTTCGGTTTCTTCGGTTTATAAAAGTAGAAATTTATAAGCATTAAAAAATTGAAAAAAACACTAACTCGATGAGACAATAACACTACGCAGTGTTAGCTTAGGTTTTTTTGTTTGATTTTTACACAAAAACAAAAACCAAACTGAAGGTTATTGTTCCTTTTAGTTCAATTTTACATAAGAAATATGTGTTGAGTGCCCCACAAACATTTAGAAAGACATCGTATGTAAAATCAATTACGAAGAATTTATATTTTTTGTATAATACTTTCATTTTCATTCTAACATCAAAGTATTTTTTATGTAAATATGTAAATTACGCGTATCAATTTTTAATCTTAATATAATTATATATTAGGATTAGCTATTGGTGTTCATATATATATTCTAAAGTTTTTTTAAAGTTTATAATAATATGGCTAGAATGTTTAAGTAATAGATACGAAAATAATTTTAATCGACTAGTAATTTATTTGCATTTATATTTCTATGATTTTTCAACATATCACATATATTGATATAAATAAAGAGATGTATCTAAGAAAGTTCGGTTTATTCGGTTCGGTTTGGTTTTTCAAAGTGAAAACCAAAATGGAACCAAACACAAACGGTTCGGTTCGGTTTTTTTAACATTTGGTTTCGGTTTTTTCGGTTCGGTTTTTTTCTAGCTCGTTTCGATTGATTTCAGTTCAGTTTGTGGTTTTCGGTTTTTCCAACCCAGCCCTAGAGCAAGCTCTCTGCTAGCGACAAGAATGTTAGAATAGTAGACCAACGCTAGAGGGGGGGTGAATAACGTTTGATCAAGAAATCACAGGAATTAAAAATAAATAGAAGAGAAGTAAAGAGAAGAGTAAGAGGCACACCGAATTTACCCTGGTTCACCAAAACTTGTGGGTAATCCAGCCTCCCGAGAGACTCTCTCGAGCTACACTACTATCTCGTTAAGCTTAACGGTGCTTAACAAACCCGTACAACTTGAGAGTTTGAGTCACACGAACCTAAACGAACCTTCGAAGTAAACAACCCTTCCTTCGAACAACAAGAGAAATATTTTCTTTTGTCAAGTGTCTAAGAACACTAAAAACACTCAAGAACAATAGTCTCTTTTAGAGTGGATAATGAGTAACTAAGAACGCTCAAGACACAACACAAGCTTCACAAAAATGGCTCTCAAAAAGCTATGAATAAAGGATGAATGATTTGCAATGAAAGAGTAGGAGTTGTGAAGTAATGTGATCTGTAAAACAGACCCAAACACCCCATTTTATAGTGGAAAAATAGGCTCCAACGGATCAAAACATTTAAGGGGTGATTGGCACAATTTGTGGGATTTGATTAAATTTGGATCTGCTGAAATTCACCCGGACAGCGCTGTCCTAGGCTTGGACATCGCTGTTCTAGGATTGGGTTTTGAAAATTGGGAAGCAACGGTCATGCCAACAGCGATGTCCAATACCCCTACATCGCTGTTTTGGCTGTTGACTTCCAAACAAGGAAAGTTTTAGCCTTAAATTCGTTCCAACGGTCAGGTCCCTACATCGATGTTCATTACTTGAACATCGCAATATAGGTCTGACTTTGAAGGTGGAAAGCATGGCCTAACAGCGCTCTTGCTGGGTCAACATCGCTGTCCAAAAACTTTCTGCCAGAAGCATTTCTTTTTGGCTTAGGTTGGACAACGATGTAGGGTAGTCTACATCGCTATTCCAGATGTTTCTGGAAACCCAACCTTGGCTCAACAGCGATGTGTAACATCCAACATCGCTGTTGGAAGACTTAATGCCAAACCATGGTTTTCAACTTCCCATGCCACACAGCGCTGTTGGTTACACCAACATCACTGTTGGGCTGGTTTAGCCAGACCCATGGTTGGTTTAGTCATGCCATTAGCCGATCTCAAAAAGGTAAGTTCTCCAAAGTAAAAATCAAGTATTGAAATTTTTTTTAAATGCATTGTGCTAAGAAATCAAGTGAAACATCTTGAGAACCACGGCTAGCCAAGTTTGCGCCATTTCGCATGGTTTTCACTAAATGACCAAAAACGAAAGGTGGTTTTTGAAGCGTTTTTGTTGGAGAACTATTTAAATATGCCCAGAAGTAAAAACTAATCATTAAAAGTTAAAAACCACTTGGTTGGTTCGGACACCAAAAACCAACACCGATAACCGAAGGCCGAACGCCCGTTTCTGAAGACCGAACGCCGGATGGCTTGGTTTTTGGTTTAAGCGAACATCAAGTGTTTTTAGGCATGTTTAAAACTTAGGAAAACATTTTTGAAAATGCGAAAAGTATTTTGATGAAGTGAGCCTAGAGAGCCAAGTTTTGAAAGTTTACGCCGGTCTTGATCACATTAAGACCGACTCAATACAATTCTTAGTCTTCGTTCTTGATTATTGGTTCTTGGTTTTCAAATCATCATGCCATGTTCCTTCGCCTTGGTTTTGCTCACTTTAACCATGTTATTGTCACGGCTGTTTGGCATTATCAAAACCTGACATAAAACGAACACGGTTTAGTACGACATAGACGTAAACCCGTGTTCCAACAATTTCCCCCTTTTTGATAATCGCAAACAAGACGGGGATATGCATACTAAGGGATATTTGATTTTGAAACGTGTGAAAAAAAATTCCCCCTTAATTTGTGCTTTTAAAATTTAGCGATCCCGTTTTTAGAGACGTTCCCCCTTAGTGTATGCATAACCCTTTTCTTCCCCTTTTTGACATTAACAAAAAGATAAAAGATGATTTTATTTATTAAATTGGGAAATAGCGGAGTACAACGGAAGCAATAATAAAAAACAAGACAATTGAAAAAAGAAGAGATCAAAATTCTAGGTGCGGCTTAGTCTTCGTCTTCGGTTTCCTCCTCATCATCGTCGACGTCCATCTCATCGCCGTCAACGGCGTCATCGAACTCGACCTTGTCCGGGGAGCTTGACGGGGCGTAGGAGCCATCGTCTTCGTCCTCGTCACCGTACACTTGCCCAAAGAACGTGCCATGGTACGGTGGGGGGACGTAGTTAACGCGTTGAAAGTACGCGTTCAATTCATGCCCTTGGCGTTGAAAATCCTCGTCGAGCCGCTCAAGGTAGCCATCCATCCCGTCAACTTTGAAGTGAAGCCGGTTGAGGGAGTCGGAGATGGAGGCAAGGTTGGCCCGGGCCTGGGGTTCGGCTAGGCCAGCAGTAGAATGGCGCCATGGCGCGGCAGTGGTAGTGGCGGCGTTGTCCGACCGCTTGGTGAAGGTTTGGGTGCTGATCGTCCAAAGCTTTGTGGCCTTTGTGAGCGGGCCAACAATGGTGGTTACCTTGACCCGTTCAAGGATATCCATCACCACAAACGGGTACGGGAGGAGGTGATCGTGGTCGGTGGGCGCGACGACCGACATGTTGATCATGACAAACTTTGCCCAATTGATCGGGGCCGTGTGCATGATCGCATGGAGAAGCTTGAGGTCCTCACCGGACATGATCGTGTGCCCATGCTTCCAGGGCTTGATGATTCGAGACACGATGTAGAGAAGGAGCCGGCTCTCGGGGGTCGCGGAGTGGATGGTGGGGCGGCCCGAGGCATGGCGGATGAGTTCGGTGATGCCAAGCTCGTTGAGGATAAGGCCCTCGTTGTTGAGCACCCAGTCCTCTCCGCCATAGTGGGAGACGTTGTCGCCTTGGTAGGGGAGGCCGACGATGCACCCAAGCTGCTCAACGGAAAGCTCTATCGATGTGCTCTTGACAAGAGAGTAGAGCACGTCACCCTCACGCCGGAGGTTGGAGTAGAAGGCCCGGATCAGTGCCGGGTTGATCTCTTTCCGAGCCTGGGAGACGAACGGCCAAAGGCCGGCATGATGAAGCTTAGCGTCTAGATCGTCGTAGCCCTGGAACTCCAGGAAGCGCTCCGGGACGATCCGTGGGGGAGCCACAACCCGTTTAGAGAAAAAAGTGAGGAAACAGGTGCGCTCCTCCTCGGTATCGAACCAGAGGTACGACCCATCGCCGTAGTAGAGGCGTTCCTCGGAGGACGTCGCTGGTGCCCGAGATTTAGACTTAAATTTCCCGGAGGTACCTGCACATTAAATATTTTTTGTGTACATCGTTTGACACACAAAATAATTTTTGGACTCACTTTTTCTCCCTTATTCAAATTTATTGAATAAAAAGGAGGAGCGCTTCCTGATTCCCGTTGCCTCAAACAATGAGGTGAAGCCAATTTGCTCTCAATTGCAACTGGTCTTGCGCCCTTTGTGTTTGCGCATTATTTCCTTATTAATCGATTAAAAGTCCTAAATTAATCGATTAGATCTAGTTCTTTTCTCAGCGCATTCACTTAATCAATTAAACCATATATGTTTAATCGATTAAATACCTTTGCTTAGCGCTGGATTACTCAGGTCTTGAGTTTAATCGATTTTCTGTTCTTCACTTTAATCGATTAGTTCAGAAAGAGCCATTAATCAATTTTATTATTAATTTTAATCGATTAAGTTCCGACCTTCACAGAAGACTTTTTCTATGTAATCGATTACACTCTCCACTTTAATCGATTAATATTGTTTGGTGCCAATTCTCAGTATCTTTCAGTGGCTCCAACGGTTCTATTTCCCTCTGCCTATTTAATCCTTCATTCTCCCTCTTTTCATACACATCTCTTGCACTCCAAAACCGACATTGATATATATTCAATTCTTGTTTCTATCTTCCTCATCAAATATATTATTTTGAGAGTTAGAAATATTTTTATTGAGTGCTAAAGATATTGTCATCCATAGAGCTTCCATATTTCAACACTTCTTGCTCAATTGTGTGAGCTTTCATTCTTGTGTTGTAAACTTAATCTTATTTGAGTGTTGCTAAGACTTGTGTGATTCATGTCTTGTTGTTGTTAAGACTTGTGTGACTCAAGTCTTGTTGTAAGGAGTTGATGCTTGTGTGATTCAAGTTCTCGAGTTGTATCGGGTTTTCAAGAACCCGTTGAAGCTTGAAGTTTAGTAAAACCTTTGAGAGAGTCTCTCGAAGGACTGGACTAGCCACGAGGTGGTGAACCAGTATAAATCACGGTGTACTCTTTTCCCTTGTGCTTTACATTTTTTCTTGCGATTTTTCTTTTATTATCACACACGCGAATTACGCAAATTCTAGCAAATAACTCTATTCACCCCCCCCCCCCCTCAAGAGTTGCACTTTTGTTTAACAAAGTTGGTCGCCTTGTGGACCCAGACCCGTCCTGGGGAAGTTTGGCTGGTTAAACATTTAGAGGTTTCCTTCTGGTTGGGGCTCTTCCAAGCTCAAAAAGTCTTTCGTTCCAATCTAGCTCTGCTCCCCAAGGGGACTTCTCTTCCTGACTTTGGACTTCCCCCTCCTTGCGACGAAATCCGGGATTTCGACCCTGCACCCTATAAGGATGAAGTAGACTCGAGCGACTCGGAGGGGGAGAGCGAGGAAGTTGGCCAGAGCGACCGGGGTAACCAAGTTAACCAAAGGGAGGAGGTTATCCAGGCAGCGACCACAGCTAATTGATACCCGAATTCTAGTGTCAAAACGACCAGCTTCAGTCTGTAGTCTATTTCCCTTCTGAAGTTCTAAAAACTCATAAGTATTGAGATTTTGCCACTATGTTGGATTTGTATCACTTCAACCGCTGTTTGGTTTAATTTTGAATCTTCTGCATTTTTTGTGTTGATTTACTTCCTCCATTTTGCAGTTCTTTTTTTTTGCTTAGACCGGTGCTAGGCCCAACCTCCCAATTAAGCCCACTTGAGCAGCAACCCTAATTCACAAACCGGCTAAGTATGCCGCCCAGCTGTCCAATCACATGGGTCTGATTAGGAGATTGGGCTGGCCCTCTGTGCTAGGCTACTTTACCGATTATGCTCCCCTCAATGTTGACCATCCAAATGCTTCGGTTTCTTCGCCCTACATCCTATATAACTTGCCTTGCTCCTCTCATCAGTCCATGCCTTGTTAGACAAATGTGCAACTCTAGAGGGGGGGTGAATAGAGTTGTTTTCAAGAATGTGCGTTTTTCGCGTGTGTGAAATAATAAAATCGCAGGAATAAATAAAGAGAGTAAGGGAAAGAAGAACACCGAGATTTATACTGGTTCACCACCTCGTGGCTAGTCCAGTCCTCCGAGAGACTCTCTCGAAAGTCCTACTAATCTTCAAGCTTCAACGGGTGCTTGAAAAAACCGGTACAACTTGAGAACTTGAATCACACAAGCCTCACTTTCTTACAACAACAAGACTTGAGTCACACAAGTCTTAAGAACAATACTCAAAAGAGATTGAGTTTACAACACAAGAATGAAAGCTCACACAATTGAGCAAAGTAGTGTTGAAGAATTAAAGCTCTATGGATGACAACTTCTTTAGCACTCAAAGAAAATATTTCTAACTCTCAATAATATTTTGATGAGGAAGATGGAAGCAAGAAATGAATATTGATCAATGAAGATATTGGAGTGCAAGAGATGTATTTTTAATGAGGGAGGATGAGTGTTTTTATAGGGGAAAAAGAAATAAATCCGTTGGAGGTAGGGATGAAGTGATTTTGACAGATTGGACCGTTGGGGATCGATCCAGGGCAAAGGATCGATCATCTGGAGTAAACTTCCGAAAATAAATTTGTGTCAAAAGCACGGGGGATCGATCCAAGGCAGGGGATCGATCCTCTAGAACCAAAATTCAGGGGACAGATTTTTGCAAGGCTACGGGGGATCAATCCACACTTAAGGATCGATCCTACGAATCAATTTGGGAAAAATATATGATCGATCCATTCACTTGGATCGATCCAGGCTCGGATCACTCTGCACAGGTGATCGATCCAGAAAGGATGATCGATCCACTAACGAACAATGGCCAAACAAGGAGGACCCAAAGCATGTGTGCGAGTGGGGAGTACAATTGGAGCTTAATGTATTGTTTTAAAAAACAATTTGAACATGATAAGGCTCCCATAAACAAACAAATCAAATGAGTTGAAAAGATTTAATTCAAATTCAAAATTTGAATTAAATAATGAATTTTTATGTAGAAATTGAGTCCCAAAAATATTTTGTGTGTCAAACGATATACAAGAAAAAATCTTTAAAGTATATTTTTCTTACCACAAATGATTTGTGTATCCTTAAAAGTATTTTAAGAAATTTTGACACACTAGTTTGAAACTGACTCAGTAAAATATTTTTAGACAGAGAAAAAATAATTTTTCAACTGACTCAAAAATTAATTTGTTTGTGCAAAAATTATTTTCCTCCTTACAAGAATCCTAGACTCAATAAAAATTTAAGTCTTCGGAGTCTTCACTTCACTTCAAAAGAAATCTGCGTAGGGGTGATCGTCGATTTTTATCGCCGTAAACTTCTTGATACCCTTCTTTGCTTTTCTCGATACGAAAAATAAATTTTTGAATATCGATTTAATCATCATGTTTGTCATTTATCAAAACAAAAAAATATTCCGATCAATAATAAAGGGGTTTGAACTCATGTCCAACATGCCTCAACATATTCTCTTGTGTCTAACCTTTGATATACTTACAGTTTCCTCTTGTCATGTTTTGAGGGGCATCAACTTCCATTAACCTCTCCGGCGGCCCTTCTCCTTCTTTGCCAGAGCCTGTCTCCTCTCCCAGGTCCGTCAATTCTAAAAACTAGGGGGGGTCTGGACCCTTACAAGTTTTGCCGCCGTCTCCCTCAGGGTCATTAGTCCATGGTGAGGACACCACTGATTCCTTCAAACCCATATGATGACTTTAATAAGGCCAACAAGGAGCTCATGTCCAACCGCCTCCCTTCTGGCAAGATAGATTTAGATGCTCCTTGCCCCATCTTCGAGAGACATTATGCGGCTTGGAAGAGTGTGGAGGGTTACCACCTGCCCCTATTGGAGAAAGATGTGGAATACCACTTGGGACCGGAACAATGAACCTGTTGTTAGAATAAGTTCCCTTCACTAGAGGGGGGGTGAATAGTGTTGGAACACGGGTTTACGCCTACGTCGTACTAAACTGTGTTCGTTTTTATGACATGTTTTGATAATGCCAAACCGCCGTGACACAACAAGGCTAAAGTGAGCAAAACCAAGGCGAAGAAACACGGCATGATGACATGTGAACCAAGAACCAAGAATCAAGAACAAAGAATTAGAATTGCATCGAGTCGGTCTTAATGTGATCAAGACTGGCACAAACTTCCAACTCTTGGCTCAATTCATCAAAACCCTTTTTGCAAATTCAAAAATGTTTTTCATAAGTTTTTAAACCTGGCTAAAAACACTTGGAGTTCGCCCAAACCAAAAACCAAGTCATCCGGCGTTCGGCTTTCAGAAACCGGCGTTCGGCTTTCGGTTTTCGGCATTGGTTTTTGGGCATCCGAACCAACCAAGTGGTTTTTAACTTTTTATGATTGGTTTTTACTTCTGGGCATATTTAAACAGTTCTCCAACAAAAACGCTTCAAAAACCACCTTCCGTTTATGGTCGTTTAGTGAAAACCATGCAAAACGACACAAACTTGGTTAGCCGTGGTTTTCAACTAAATGACGTGGTTTTTAAGTTGTTTTATTTTATTTCTTAGAAAAATGCAATAAACAAATGTTTTCAACACTTAGTTTTTATTTTGGAGAACTTACGTTTTTGACATCGGCTAACGGCATGACTAAACCAACCATGGGTCTGGCTAAACCAGCCCAAGAGCGATGTTGGTGAAACCAACAGAGCTGTCTGGCTTGAGTAGCTGAAAACCATAGTTTGGCGTTAAGTCTTCCAACATCGATGTTGCACACTAGACATCGCTGTTGAGCCAAGGTTGGATTTCCAGAAACTTCTGGAACAGCGATGTAGTCTTCCCTACAGCGCTGTCCAACCTAAGCCAAAAATATAGTGCATTGGCAGAAAGTTTCAGGACAGCGATGTTGACCCAGCAACAGCGCTGTCAGGCCAAACTTCCACCTTCAAAGTTAGACCTAAACAGCGATGTTCTAGTATTGAACATCGATGTAGGGACCTGACCGTTGGAAGGAATTTAAGGCTAAAACTTTCCTTGTTTGGAACTCAACAGCCAAAACAGCGATGTAGGGGTTTTGGAAATCGCTGTTGGCATGACCGTTGCTTCCCAATTTTCAAAACCAAACCTAGAACAGCGATGTCCAAACCTAGGACAGCGCTGTCTAGAAGATTTTCAGCAGACCCAATTTTAATCAAATCCCACAAATTGTGCCAATCACCCATTAAATGCTTTGATCCGTTGGAGCCTATTTTTTCCACTATAAAATGGGGTGTTTGGGTCTGTTTTACATATCATTTTACTTCACAACTCCTATTATTTCATTGCATATTATTCATACATTATTCATAGCTTTTCGAGAGCCATTTTTGTGAAGTTCGTGTTGTGATTTTGAGCGTATTACTTTACTCATATTCACTCTTTTGAGAGAGCCTTGTTCTTGAGTGTTCTTAGTGTTCATAGACATTAAGGGAAGTTTGTTTCCCTTGGTTGTACGAAGGAAAGGTATTTTTCCTTCGGGTTGAAGTCTTGGAGTGCGGTATCTCCGAGCAAGTGTATTGAGGCTCGTGGGACTGGAGTTCTCAGGTTGTAACGGTTTGTTAAGCACCCGTAAGCTTAACGGAAGTAGTGTAGCTCGAGGGAGTCTCTCGGGAAGCTGGATTAGCCACAAGTTGTGGTGAACCAGGGTAAATCTTGGTGTGCTCCCTTTATGCTTTCTACGCTCTTTATCTTTCACGCTCTTAATTTTTTATTCCTGCGATTTCTATGATCAAAAGCTATTCACCCCCCCCCCTCTAGCGTT